CTATATCCCACCCCATCGCCGACCTACCTACAACACAGCCTACCAATCAAGAGGTAACCATCGACCTGACCAACAACAGAAACGACTACCAGCCCACCGACGCCAACCAGTCCCCACTCATAAGGAGGAAGAACCCTTTGTGAAGGTGTTCTTCCAAGTTTTGCAGTGCCTCCATCATTTGGCAATCCTTACCCTTCAACAGCAAGGCCAACCAGCGTTTACCTTCAAACGCAAAGTCTCTGAGTTGGATAGTTTTATCCGTCCAGCAATGAAAACATCAGCTGTCGACGCGAATATTAGATCCCTCAATCGGACATGGCTCTGTAAGGTTACGCAGGTCCTGATCGACCATTACCAAACCACACTTCAAGAGAAGCTGACCACCATTCGTACCAAGTCTTTATCGTCACCTGCCGTCGACCGCATCGTTTCTCATGCCCTGTCCTGGGCCCGTCGCTCCTATGGGAAACGTCTCACTCAAGCTGTAATTTCCAAATTCTACCAAACAATCAACGAAACAAAAACCAGAGTAACCATATCTCTACCAACTGAAATGGACACTACACCTGTACCATCTAGAGCTACCACGCTGCCGAACCAAACCCCTAAACGAGCCCGAAGTTCACCTACTCCTAGTCCAGCAGACATAGGTAAACGCTCTCGTAGAGAGGGCACACCCCTTCTCTTTTCACTTTCAGACTCGTCTTCCCCTTCCACACCATCTGAATCTTCACCACGTGATCTCGAAAATCTCGAAGAAAGCACAACAGAACCTCAGCACCTTCAATAACATGATGATGGAGTCCAGTATCAACAGCGCAACAATCTTACCACCCTACGAAGAAGAATTCGAAACAGTTGATAATCTTCATTGGTCTCCAGAAACAGCAAACAGCATTTATTTGTTTTGGATACACCAGCTTCAAGCATCGAGTAAGTCTTTAAACTAATTACTGGGGATAAAAATACTGAGAGGCCACCGCTAGGCCAAACTGTAGTTAACTTGAGCCGCAAAATTCTCACACCCCTTCAGCATTCAATCTTAGACCGTGGACTTAAGTTTATTCCCACACCAAAGATAGCTAACTTGAATTATCTCCGACCATCCATTGAACGATTTCAACGAAATCTTAGCTGCACATATTTTTTTCGAAACCACCCCCACGTGGTGCTAGAACAATGTTTATTCCTAAATCCACGTGGACACCCCCTCAGGCCGCCATCCATCCTGAAATATTGAAAGCATTTGCTAGTATGAATAGCCAAACAGTGAACCTTTCCATAACACACGAAAAGCCTAATCTCACACGAGTGGAGCGTGAAGCGTTAAACTTACTTAAGAAAGACGATAGCATTG